TATGTAAGTCAGAACTGGCGGTCAGTTTCAGCAGCAGCTGAATCTGGACGCCAGTTCTGACTTACATACAGATTCAACTTAAGAACAAACCTACAGTCCCTATCTTGTACGTAACCCGGGGACTGCCTGTATACTAATTGGATGTATTGAGCATAGGTGCCTATTTGGCAATGGGTTCTTCCATAAATACTGTACAGTGTTTTCTATATTTTTGGATGAATAGTATTTATAAAATATGTATTTGTGCCTGAAATGCTATTAAACTAAACTCTTCTTAGAAGTAGCAGTCTCTGAAGCAAAAGAGGAAACAAAAATTCTCCACAATGAGTTATGAAAAGGCTTTACAAACTCTTCAAGCAGTCGTCCCTTGAGCTGCTTTGACTCTTAAGGAAGGACAACCATCATCAGGATCCAAATGTTCCTTAAACTGAGCAGCACCTTCAGAAACAATTCTAGTATTGCAAACAGAGCACTAAAGAATTAGCTACACTCTGATTACAAGGGGAAATAGGAAAAACTCGTTTCGATTGACTAAACTGCAGTAGATGGCTAAAGAGGTGACAGCTGTGAATGGGAATTATAATTAAAATGGGGGGGGGGGATATTCACTCCTTGGACCATTGGTGACAAACTGAGCACAGTTTACAGCTGCTCTGCATTTTGAGAACCTTGAGGCAGAAGATTTACAGATCAGCATTAACATTGGTCCAAGAAGAGATCAGACTTCCTACTCTTCTGTCTCTGGGAAAAACACAAAAAGTCAAAGATCAGATTTAATCGGGGCAATAGTTGTCCATGGCTGTGTTAACCATCAGAGAAAACATTTGTGTAATACCCCTTTCAGTGATCTGAGAATGGGTGCCTAAGACAATAATTCCCAGTTTTATTTCACTTATGTTGCTGCCCATGTCTAAATTAGGCTATGTTTGCAATTCATCAACAAAACTTTTGTCATTTACAAGTGCTTAATCCCCACCGACCCCCCGACCCCCACCCCAACAACACAAGTTTTGCCACAGCAAGTGTTAGAGTGAACACTGCTTTGTGGGCAGGAACACTCTCCTGCTGAGAAAGCAAAAGCAGTTCGTGGGGCTAGAACTGTTTTGTCAGCAAAAATGCGAGCAAACAGCGTTCACACATGCCGACTTTTAATGAGGGCTGTGTCGACAGCCTTGTCGCCAAACGCTGCGTACTGCTGACCTAACCTTCGATTACAGCAAGCTTCCACTGGTATTTATAACTCTGCTTTGCTCTCAGGGGCGCCTGAAGATTTCTGATCCTATTGGTCCATACTTTGGAAAACTAAAAGAAAAAATAACAAAGTTTAAAGTGTAAATAAACCTCAAAGGTGGCAGGACGAGTTCATGATGGCACAGTGAACCATTTACGGTCAGCAGTGTGACTCCATCCCAGGTCATGAATGATCAAAAGCAATCATTTGGCTATTCTGTGATGCAAATTGAAAAGAACTGTTCTCTGATCCCTAGTGGATAAAATATCTTTACTGTTTAAACAATTATATCTGCACATTCTTGCCAATTTTGACAGACAGGCCAACATGCTGTTTGCACACAGACTTTGGATTACCCTGTTACTCCTTAAAGCAGATCCTTCACATGTCATTTGAGGCACACGGAGGGGATAGATGGGAGCTTACACTGTCACTATTTGTGCTTCTCTGAGCCCAGACTCAGCCAGCGTCTTAAACACAAGCTTCATCCATCTCTATTCTACAGTACATTCAGGCACATCCTTAATTGTAAGCATGGCCAATGGAACGTAAGCACCTGCTTAGCTTTTTAGGGATGCACTTAGGTGATGAAATGAACATGGGTCCTGCTTCATTGGCTAAATAATGTATTTGGTTTTCATTGCTGTCACTCAAGCAACATGCACAAGCAATATATTGATTTTAAATATTTTTTAAATTAAAGGAATTGGATTTGAATGTAGTGCATACATCAGTTAAAAGGTAAAAATGCCTTCCTAATAGATACACAATATAGTCGCCATTCTGATTTTGTGAAGCTTACATGTAGGGGATTTTTTTTTCCTAATGTATCTCCCATGTGGCATGACATGTCTATCAGCCGCATAATTTCCTGGGGAAAAAATTAATTACAGCTTCATTCCCTGGCAGATGGGCAGGATTTAGTCCCCTGGGTACTTGAGCAAGTAGTTCAGATGTGCACTACAAATGCCATACATGCTCATCAATCTCACGAGACTAAGAGGAACTTGTGTGCTCAAGTCCCAGTGCTGAAATGTGACTGAGGGAGACAAAAGGACAGTCCTGCATTACCAGAGATTACCAAGCATCCAAGCTATCGGGGTGGGAGTGGGTGTTGGGATTGCTGCTAGGAAATGTGTTCATGCGTGGGACTTGATAGACTAACGCTTATATATGTTTTCACAGTGCAGAAGTGAGTGATTCCAATTGTGTTTAGCCGGTCTTAGTATTCCTTCACCGCAGATGGAATGCTCCTTTTTTTAAAAAGGGGGTGAAAGATTAGCACTGATTTCTGGGGTTTTGGAAATTTTACTGAACAATAAGTCTTTGAATAAATAAGTTTTGCTCCTCCTGACTGGAGGTCATCTTCCCCAAGCAAAGGAAGTTCAAAGCTATATTGTGGCTAGATCCTGAACTCATTTACACCAACATAAAACAAATGTAACTTCCACTGCAGTCAAAGACATTGCTTCTGATGTGATGTAACTGGCCCCATAGCTCTGTAGGGCTTTCCAAAGTATCAAACATCTGGCAGAAATCACTGCAAAACCTTCCTTGCTGTGACAGGCAAATCGGTGATTAATCCTCACAGTGACCCATAAGAAACACAAGATACCTCATACTGCTTGTATTTTCAATACAGACTTCTCTAGGAACATTTGAGGATAAAGCTTTCTGCTAATTTCCATAAGTTAACAGCACTTTGATATTAAAGTAGGCTTTAAGCCTGGCATATTTTTATCACTCTCCATTTCCAGGACTGTGATTAATTTCATTTTTATTTCAGCCAAGCAATAAACAATCTAATTGGGTCAAATCTTCAGCTGGTACAAATCAGTGTCATTACCCACAACAGCATTGGACTCCTGGTGGTTTACACCAGCTAAGGATCTGCTGAGAATTTTTTAAAGGGGCAGCGGAAAAAGTGAAATAAAAATGTATTCCATTAAAAAGACAGATTTGTTCGGAAAGCCAAAAAAGTCCAGGAAGTTTGCTGTGTGAATTTGCATGCTGTGCGTAGAGCCTTTCACTGCAGGAAAGGGCATGACAGGTCAGGTTTTAAGGGTGGCTTGAGAATTTACTGATTCTTATAAGACTTTAATTGAAGCCTTTCTTATTGCTGAAATGGACCTTTTGATCCTACATTCTATGCTGCCATCTCTCCCACTACAAAGTTCAGGTAACTGAGATTTGCAAAGGAAACGGTGTTGCGAGAGGATGGAATTTCATTACTTTCCCTCACCCTCCCCAAGTAATTTCTTAGGTAGCAACATAGCCCCTCTGAAACTATTCTTCCAGTCTCTGGTGCCCCTGTAGTGATAGTCCTACAATCCCAGAGGATCCCTGCACCCCTACAGAGCCCCATTAACTTTAACTCTGCTGCACATGGGAACCAAGATCTTGCTTTGTGCATTCTGTTTCAGGATCAGGGTCTGTGTGAGGATTTGCTGCAATTGAATCCCTGCAAAATTCCAATGCAGACACCTGACTGTAATGGCATAGGATCTGTTCTGGTCACTCCGTATCAGCCTGTATAGATCATCCTTCATGACACACAGCCGTGAAGACCAATCCTTGTGGTCATTTCAGCTTTGCTTCAGTGGGGCTCTCACTGTAGGTAGCTGGACTTGACATTTAGCCTTTTTCTGTTAAAGATGCACAAATCACAGTGGAAACTAACAAGCAAGAAACTTTTTTCATGCCACAAACTAAAAGGTAGCAAAACTGTCTTTAAAATAAAACAAAGAAATAAATCACCCCAGAGCAGTGAATCTGTTTGAAGGTTTTTAGGCAGAAGTTAATTTTATTGGCTGAAAAAGAAACCAGCATCATAAATGGATTTGCTGACATATTCTTAGCAATTGAATAATTGTGGGTCTACCCTAGAACTAAAGGTGAAGTGTGTTTGAATTGAGTGATCTTGAAGCCGATACTATTTGTAATGGATGAATAAATTGCTAGAAGAAATAAATTGTATTCCAATACACCGCAGTGCTCCACCATTGACTAAGCTATGAGCTGACCAGATGGGAAGATATTTAACTTGTGGTACACATTTGCAATTTTGCTTTTTAGGGGAAGTAATTGTCATGAAATGAAGAAAGAAACTGATATTAAAATTCAGGCATTAACATCCGATCACAAATCTAAGGTAAGAAAACGTGCCAGTGTTAATACATGCAACATTTGGAGACCCAAACGGTAGTTTATTTTTGTGAATGCATTTGAATGATTTTCAGTCATAATGACATGCAGAAAAGAATGGGAGTAAATCTGTCTAGAAGCTTTTGTTTTTCTTATTCAAAATGAGCAAAATCCATCTCTTGACCTTTAACAATGCTAGATTTTCCTAGCATTATGAAACAAAAATGTTTGGTCATTTTGTAATAGTGTCAGTTCTGCAGACTATAGGGGAAAATGTGCTATAAGAAATCTGGAGGTGAATTTTGCCACCAAAAATATGCTTGTAAGCAGAATTAGCTATCAGTTAGTTTTACATCAGTGTCATCTTACCCAGCACCTTTCAGAAATTTGACTCTCCCTTTGGCCTTTCAGTATGTCTACACAGTAGGGCAAAAGTTGAATTAAGCTACGCAACTTCAGCGACATCAGTTTCGTAGCTGAAGTCGAAATAGCTTAACTCCTTTAACTCCCTTGTTAAAGCTGAATGTGGCAGCATTGAGGATAACCCCCAGAAGAAGGCTCCACATAGCAAATTAAGAACGCGGGGGAGGCACGTCTATACAGCAGGGCTAAAGACTAAATAAGCTATGCAACGTCAGTTATGTTAAATGCGTAGCTGATGTCGAAGTAGCTTAACTCAGCTTTTGGCTCTGTCCATACAGCAGGAAGTGGAAGGAAGAACACTCTTCCTCCGACTTCCCTTACTCCTTGTAAAATGAGGGGTACAGGAGTCGGAGTAAGAAGCCCTCCAGCTCGACATTATTTCGAAATAATGGCTTGCTGTGTAGACACGCATTTTGTTATTTCAAAATAACGTCAGTTATTCTGAAATAATGTTGCCGTGTAGACATACCCGTACTGTCCCTGTCCTGGGCCCACTCCATTTGCATCTAATATATTATTTTGTTACTTCTTACTCCTCCTCTCCTGAAGTCAGTCAGTTGCTATCTCCAAGATGCCTGTCCCTAAAAAACAGCACCCACGATCCAAGCCCAGTTGTACTTCAGTCAGTTGTTCTCAAGCTATGGTCATGGGCCACTTTCAGGAATTGCATGGAACTGCTCCAGTGCAGGGGTAAAACACCCAGAACTGCATGCTAGTTGCAGTATAGTCTTACTCCTCCTCTCCTGAAGTCAGTCAGTTGCTATCTCCAAGATGCCTGTCCCTAAAAAACAGCACCCACGATCCAAGCCCAGTTGTACTTCAGTCAGTTGTTCTCAAGCTATGGTCATGGGCCACTTTCAGGAATTGCATGGAACTGCTCCAGTGCAGGGGTAAAACACCCAGAACTGCATGCTAGTTGCAGTATAGTACGCTGTCCCCCCCCCCCCCCCCCACTTACAACTTAATTGGTTCCTGGAGTACTGTCGTAAGTTGAACCCTTATTTCCCATAAGCACAATGTTATAAATGGCAGTTCTGTTCCTGGAAATCCATTTCATACCCTAAAAATACCAAAATTGACTGCGGAAATGGAGGAAAACTAAACTAAATAGTTCAAATAATGCTCAAAAATAACTGTGTGAAGACTGATGTGGTGGAGATGCATGCAGTTCAAGCAGCAGCTGTAGACTGGCGAGTCTGACTGATTTTGTACATTTCCTGTTTTGGGATGATGCATGGAGTCTGCGACATACACCGTCATAAATGCGAGCTGTGGACGTAAACTGGGGGGTTTTAGGAACTATCTCTCATGAAAAAAATGGTTGTAAATGTGGGGGGTTGCAAGTTGGGCGGTTTTAAGTCGGGATTTGCCTGTACAGAACTTAACTAGAACTTCCAGAAACTTCCTGACCAATTAACTTTTAAACCAGTCTTCATTCAGCACCTTGTTCAGTTGTTTCCTATTCCACTTGGTCAAAGATTTCTCTCTTGCCTTTTGAACTGCAGTCAGGTTTGTGGGTGACGTCAAAATTAGAGCAAAAGCAAATACACAGTAGGATAGAACCAGCTGCAAAACGATCCAGAGAGATTAGAATGGAGAAGATTGAAAACAACAGGGGATTTTTACCTAATACATGTAAAGTCTCAGACACAGGCAGAGTAATCAAACACCACAGACACCGCATGGGAGAGGTAACCAAGCTGCTGTATTAAGCAGACCAAGACAAACTCGTTTTCATCCTCTCATCCCTATTATCGCACATTCTTGTAACCAGGACACACAGATCCGAGTGTTCTTTCCTTCTACAGCCTGTTTATTCCACTCTGCTGGTGAAAAGGGGTAATAAATATCCTGTGCATAAAGGATAGAGACATAGGAACAGGGTTGTATGCTCCTCAGCACTTTATTTGCGTAGGTGGATAGAGGCAGGTTGAAGATGGGGGGAGGGGGAAACTGGCAATTGGGGAGGCATGACGAGCATATAGAATGCTCCAGCTCCGTAAGGTCAGTGGAGAGACCCTTAGGCTGCTGTAGGAAACCACTGTTGTCGGGAAGATGCAAAGGCAGCATAAACTCAGCCCCTCCCCCTCCATTCAGGGTACACCTCCTAAGCAGTGCAACTCAAAATCAGGGCCACAGTGTGTAGTTGCTGCAGCATAGAGGTGAGGTTGGGCTAGGGACAGAAGAGTATCTATGAGGAAATGGCAGCTGTAACCAGATAGCCACGATAGGGGGTGTCAGAACTTTGTCTTCAATAAAAGCAAACTGTGTTGGCAGACTGGTAAAAAAGAAAGAAAAGTACAAAATTAAAGTTAGTTATAAAAAACAGTGTGGCTGAACTCTAGAGAGAGCATTGCTTGCTAGGCAGCAGGTTTAAATCCAAAGATATGTGTAAGAGATCTTATAGTTTAAACCAGGGGTGGGGAACCTCACGCTCAGGGGCCGGATGTGGCCCTGGCTTGCCTGGATCCAGCCCCCGAGGCTCAGCATTGGGGACCTGTGTTGGCACGCCAGCCACCCAACCACCCACCCGCAGGACTGGAGCACACAAAATCTACTAGCCAGGGTCCCCCTAAGCCAGCCATGGCCAACTTGTGAGCCGCATGTGGTTCTTCCTCCCGCTCCGCTCCCCAGGGTGTGGCTTGCACGCACGCACACACACCCCCGTGGCTCGTAAAGCCGCCCCGTGCCCCCAAAACCAGCCCTCTCCTCCAGGCTTCTTGTGTTGACCTGAGCAGAGCAGTCATCTCTGCCAGAGTAAAGAAGGAGAATTAAAGATGGCGTCGGCCGGCAGGAGCCTGATGCAGCCAAAAAGCCTCTACACACATTTTCCCAAAGGGGCAAAGGGTTTGTTTTGTTTTGTTTTTCTTGACAAATTGGTTCTCACATATATGGACATTTAAGTTGATAATGGGTTTATTATCCTTCCAATGACCTGATTTGGATGGTAGGGTATGTCCTTTTACACTTCTAAACAGGTTCTGTCAAACAAGAAACCCGTCCCCATGTGGATGGATGGCTGGCTTTCTTATCCAGGTCTAGCTTTATGTTGGGATTTTCAAAGAAGCTAGAGCTCCTTTTGAAACTTCCAGGCTTTCTGGCTTTACTGATCCACAGAACCCCTCTGATCTCTGCTTTTGCTAGTATGTCTGGGTAGTTTCCTCCAGATCAAATGGAAATGTAGATTTCTTCTATATCCCTGCCGAACAGACAGAAATGATGTTGGGGAAAATTCTGAGAGATGCCGAATTCATACATTTCCTATTGAATTCATTGGGAGTGATAGATGCTCACCAGGGCTATGTCTACACTCGCGGCTTCTTGCGCAAAGAACATCTTGCACAAGTGTTCTTGTGCAAGAACTCTTGTGCAAGAAAATGTCCACACTGCCGTGTGTGAGCTGTGCTTTTGCGCAAGAGCGCCCATGGCTGTGTGGACGCTTTCTTGCGCAAGAAAGCTCTGATGGCCATTTTAGCCATAGGGCTTTCTTGCGCAAGAAATCCCACTGCCCTCTTGCGCAAGAGGGCTTACACCTTTCAAAAAAGAGCGTAGCCGTACTGTAAATTTACTTGCGCAAGAGCAGGCGAGCAGTGTGGACGCTCTGCAGATTCTTGCGCAAGAACGGCCATACTTGCGCAAGAAGCCATGAGTGTAGACATAGCCCAGATGTTCAACAGCCTCTCACGATTTGGCCCATTGATTTTCAAAAACAAGTGAGTTCTTGAGATTAATCCAGCATGTGTCACATGTGCATCATCCACGTGTCACAAGATGTATTAAATCCTAGGCTGCTATGCCCACAACACCAGCAGTGGTAATGGGCTGTGGAGATTTGCTCTTCAACATTGTGGCTATAGAGCCAGTCCAAGTTTGACAGGAAATATTCGTTCTGAATGCACAAATGCATACTTTACACGTAGTTGTCTTTGCTCTGATACAAGATACAATCCTATCTTGAGAAAACTAGATTGCTAGTATTCAGCAAGAAAAGCAGACAAGGGAAAGAAGAAAAAAATATTTCAAGGTTTATTCATCCAAGGTTTTAGATGGTGCCTAAACAAACATCTCAAATATGCAATGTTACTGAAAGTTCTATATCAAAATGTTAGTCTCTCTAGACAGACATGGAAGTAGAAGAAAGGCAGGATTTCAAATCTTCTCACACTCCCTTCTCTCTGACAGATTTCTTCATCCCAGGATATATTTTGCTTTACTTGAAATGAGTCTGTCAGCTTTGCAGGATATCCAGCTATAGAGATGATTTCAGAAAGGCTTGTTTTACCAGGAGCAATACTTACCTTTTTAGGCTGCATGCTCATTTTGAGGTCTAAGGAATTAATATTTTTAATTCTCCATTGAGTACCTCTCCGTGTGTGTGCTGATTTTTAAAATTTCTATCCTTGTCTTCTCAGATCAAGCACTTGAATAATGATCTTGCTTAATTATCTAAACTCCATTGTGGGTTTCTTCATTGGTATTAGAGTGTCGGTTCAGTCTCCAGAATTTCCTTCTTTATATTTCTCTGGAATTAATGTAGCCACAATTCAAAGACCATCAGATCGTTTCTTTCCTTCCTTTCCAGAGAGACTAGAATTCGTTGCTTTCTTATAATGATTTGGTTCTCTAGCTCTTGTCACGAAGTATTTGTTTTCAACCAGATTTCCAATGTTTGCTTTAGTCATTTGGCTTTTCAAAACATTTCTAAGCAAGACATCTTGGGCCGATCCCATCTTGGTGTACAACATGAAGAGTGGAATTTCCCAGCATTGGACCCAGCATTGTCCTAACTCCACTCCCATTGAAGTCAACAGTAGACCTCCCCTTGGTTGCCATGAGAGCAGTGGTAGGCCAACACTGAGTTCTTTTGAAAATCCCATCCAAAAAGCATGAATGTTTTCTGGGTATTTCCCTGCATCTCTCCAGTGACCTACTAAACCTAATACCCACTCTAGTCTGGTTTGGAGGTCATTACCACTGGGAGCATGCATTAAATGCATTTTTCCCACAAGCTGTTTCCCATAAGCTTCGCTTCTCTGCATTTAGGTCCCAACTTAGTAAGGTTATTAAGCTCTGCCATAACATTAACCATTTGAATAGTCCCATTAGAGTCAGGGGTTATTCCCATGCTTGAAGTTATGCTCATACTTAAGAACCTTTGTTGAATGGGAGCCTTCGCTGTATTAGTCTCAACAAATTCCTGTCTCCAAAGGCTTTTGTGTTCCTGCCAGCTAGAGAAAGCCAAACTCCATGCAGCTCTCTGCTTTCTCTGCACCAAACCATATACGTTTTCAAATGGGACATATATTTAATTATAATTAAACACGAGAGGAGCCTTTAAGTAGATTTGATACTCCTCTAGCATGGAAAAGGCAGCAAATTCTTAATTATCAACTGGGAATCCAGTGCTTAACATGCAACATGATCTTTGTTTGCTTGTACCTTTAGTGGAGAGCCTAGGTACCGCTTGCCTAAAGACTTCAGAGGGGCTCAGCTTCCAAGAATACGTCTCTCGCTTTATTTCGCTCTCAAGGACCTGACGAGCCTGTTCAGATGTATGCCTAAGGGCTCTGTGCATGGAGCTGCCTGTGACTGAGCAGGGCTTATTAAGCAGCTGCGGGGCTGTGCTGCTACGCAGCTTAAAGGGAACCATGGTCACCTGCCTAAAATACAGTTGAGAGGAATGTGTTTCATCTGAAGAAGTAGGTTATGCCCATGGAAGCTACATTTTTTGTTAGTCTCTAAGGTGCTGCAGGATTATTCGTTGTTTTTTATTTGAGAGGAAGTACTTCTAGAGGTGCATATTCCTCGGGGGACTGGCATCAAAGTCTCACTTGGGAGCTCTGGGATGGCAATTTTAATATGAAGCACTTGGACTGGCTTCCATATAAGAACACCCAACGGCTATTAGTTTCCATAGTAGCACTTAAAAAAAATACCTACCTGAAAATAGATGATTTTTTTTGTGAGGTGCTCTTTGTGTGCATTTATGGAAAAGAAGGTAGCTTGTCAAAATTGCTTAGCTAATTATGAAGGGATAATAAGTTATATCTTTCTATTAGTTTTCTAAATCATTGAGTACAATATACTATTAGAATAACAACTCTGAGGGTTTAGCCTTCTTCACATTGTCTCTTGGGAACTTTCCAAAACTTTAATCTTATTATTCTTCTGAGTCTTGCGAGCGGCACAGGAAAAGAATACTTGTCAGATTCCCTGCTGACTTAATGAGCATAAAACACAGCAATGTAGCTTATCTGCAGATGCAGGGTATATTAAATACAGGATTTCTCTGAAAAAACTTACTGCGTGAATAAGATTCTCTCCACAAAACCAGAGGCTGTTTTAGCCCGTAGAGACATTCAATCCCACTAGGTATTCTTCATCTCTGATTTCTTTGATTTTATATTTTTTGTGGCAGCCAAGAAGGTGTAGCAGTTGGATATAATGAAGCATACATTACAGGATGCTTTAAAAGAATTGTCATACAATTGAGGACATTAATTCTATCATTTTACCGAGAGCAGCAGGGTAACAGCCCTAGTAGAGAGAGTCCATTTTACTGGTGTTTATAATGCACTGTAGTTTCCCCGGTAGCTTCATGTCAGTGTGGAGCAGTTTGGCTTCTGTAATGTATTTCTTGCAACTTAGTTTTGTCAGATTATTGTACGTATCTTGAAATTACCTCCACTGTATTCATGATGAATCTTATGTTACAACTGTGAGACGTCCTGACACAATAGTCACTGCTCTTTCTCCGCAGGTAAAAGAAATTGTCGCCCAGCATACTAAAGAGTGGTCAGAGATGATCAACACCCACAGTGCCGAAGAGCAAGAAATCCGTGATTTGCATCTCAGCCAGCAGTGTGAGCTACTGAAAAAACTGCTGATTAATGCTCATGAGCAACAAACCCAACAGCTAAAGTTTTCTCATGACAGGTGAGCAGCCTAGTTTTATCACTTGACTTCCTAGAACCCATGCCCTGACAATGGGTTTATCAGGACATAGTGCCACAGCAATAAAATAAGTTATCAAAGGAAGAATTACAAGATAATGGGATGAAGAAAATTGTTATAGCTCCATTGATGCTAAGGAGCTTGAATTCAAAGGGTCTGAACCAGAGAGGTACTGAGCATTTGAAACTACCTTTTGAAGTTGATAGGAGCTATTGGCGGAGGAGGCTCAGAAATAGTATTCCCTTATTGCTGAAGCCCGTGAGGGATGAGATCATGAAAACATTACAGTTATCACTTTTTCCTGTGTAACTACCTCACAGTTGCATGTTGTTTTAGTAAAACCTCATGTTGTAATCTCCAGTATGTAGAAAACGCTGCATGCCAGCACTGTCATTGCTTTCATAGTTAACTTCACTGTCTACTTTAAATTAAATGCAAATAGTAATATTATTTATCTCTGATATAGCATTTTTATCAGTAGATCTCAAAGCACTTTACTAAGGGAGTTATGTATCGTAATCCTCAGTGTTACACACATAAAACAATAGCGAGCAGAAGAATTATCTCATTCCACAGACTATGATGTGAGGAGGTCTACAACTATATGATGTTACTTAATAGATACTATTTTTAAAAATACTTCATTAGCACTGATCTGATAGGAAGCCCCAAAACCATGACTGACTTCTCAGCTACAGAAACTAAATGAGATTATTTTCTATTGTAACAAAATTCCTGAATGAAATAATGTAGTACCATAGCATAAGCCAGAATCCATGGTGAGATCTCTGTGCTTTCCATCCAACCAAGGAAATGGTCTCAGTGAAAGGTTTTACTATGTTCATCTTCATGTTCCTCTCCAAATTAGCCCATTTATTCAACCTGTTTGGGGATATATTTGTGTATTTTACCGTATTTTCCGGCGTATAGGGCGACTGGGCGTATAAGACGACCCCCTATCTTTTTAATTAAAAGATAGGGTTTCATCTTATACCCCAGCGCCCCTCCGCCTCCTTTGCTCCCGGTGTCCCTGGTCTGCTGGAGATGGTCCCTCAAAGCCGCGGAGGGGCTCCGGCGGCGGGGCATCCGGCGTACAAGACGACCCCCGATTTTTGGGGGATGTTTTTTAACATCAGAGGTCGTCTTGTACGCCGGAATATACGGTATATTGAGATATTTTAATGTATTGTGAAATATATTAAAATTACATTGTTTTACAGATCCTAGTTCTGGCACCACGCAGGGCAAGATTCAGTCCCTAGTACAAGTTAGAGCAGCCTTTGGGGTATTCTGTTATGCTATTGCAACAACTCAGAAAGGAACCATAGCCATTTTGCTAAATTATAGTTTCTTCCCTGGAGGAATATTTCTTCTAATCTCTTTTGAAATGTTTCTGTTTCCAATTCAATACTTACTTCCCTTGTTCTCTTATTGACATTAGACCAAAGCTGTCGGTGTGGGTAGATATTATGTCTACCAAGAAAACATGCGTGTCACTGAGGCTCTATGGAAATTTATTTTTTTTCTTCCTTCCCTCACAATTCAAAGCTTTAGATTTAGAATTTTCACATCTCTGTAGTATTTTAATGGCTCGGTAGCATCTTTGGAAAGAAGTTCTTAATGCTGAATGTCTCATTTCAAATCGTTGTTATGTGTACTTTACTGTTCTAAGTGCTGCTCTGATTTTTCACGGATGCCAGGCACAACACCTTGATTTCTGTGCATGAGTAAATTTTAAATAATGTTCTGTGCCATCCCAATTAGGAATCACCTTCCAAATGTTTTTGTTTGCTGCTGTCCCTTTTATGCTCACCGCTCACCCAGGGATTTTTATCCAATCCATTTGTACAAAGATTAGGGATTTTCCTGCCTCACACAAATATAAAACACTTACATATATGCATGTCCACAGACCAGAATGTGAAATACTGAATTGTTCCTAATAATGCCCAAAAGGGACTTCATACTTCATCATTTGTAAAATGTACAGAATGCATGGAGTACATGTAACTTCCAAAAGTCAGCTGAGCAAGCCACATGGAAAATAAAGGATCATCTTGAGAAGAGAAGAAGCAGTTGACAGCCTGCCATTCTTTTAGCCCCTCTATCTATTAACTAGAGTAATGAGACATGCTGAATCGCTATCAGGACCGGGTAGAGCGGTAGTAGAGAGAGTGGTAATCTGAAATGATCTGTTAGCAAGTTGAACGTTTTCCACTCCTGGTGGAAAAAACAATTACAGCTTATGCTTGGGCTTGAGCAGAATCAAAGAGGGAAGCATAAAACAAGAAAATGCTTATAACTGCTATCTGAAGAATGCCATTGAACACTGAGAGGTTGGGGTCTCCCAGCTCCATGGGTGTGTCTAGACTATTGAGTTTTGTCAACAAAAGTGGACTTTTGTCGACAAAACTATACCTGCGTCTACACTACCGCTGAGTTCTGTCGACATAACGTCGACAGAACTCAGCCGTTTTGTCGACACTGGTAAACCTCATTTTACGAGGCATAACACCTTCTGTCGACAGAGTTCTGTCGACAGAAGGTCTTATTGCCTGTAGGGTTGCGTCTAGACTACAGGGTTTTGTCGACAAAGCAGCTTGCTTTGTCGACAGAACTGAATGTGTCTAGACACTCTATGTCGACAGAAGTTTTGTCGACAGTATCTGTCGACAAAACTTCCGTCGACAAAACCCTGTAGTCTAGATGTACCCCATGAGGCATGGTATCTCTCAGAGAGTCCATCTGCCTTTGGATCTGTCTGTTTAACTTTACTGAATTAGAGATGCTGTGTAGAGCACTTGAGAAATTAGAGAATCTAGGACTCACACTGACATTTCTGACTAAAATGCATCCTAGGTGACTATGTTGGCAATGAGTCAGAGGGAGAGAGAAACAAAAGTATTTTGTAATACAAGAAGAGATCAGCATGTGAGTGGAGCAGTATTATTCAGAAAGCACCAAATTGCATTATTAAGTAGGATAAAATACTGATAATATCTGCTAATTGACTTTAGTGGACTTTAATTGATATTTTGTTTGGAAAGTTCCTTAAGATCCTCAGGTTGGAAGAATTAGAGGCATGCAAAGAAATCTTTGAGTCGGTGTGACGTAGTGGGGGTACTTGCTGGGTGGTGGTGACCTCTGCTGTCTGGAGCAAGACCCAGCAGGGAAAACCTCACTATGCAAAGGTGATGCCAAACCTGTTGACCAGATAAACCCCATGGAGAGGAACAAAGGAAGGGGGTTAGTTGCTGTCTGGGAGCATGGAGGAGACAGCCTAGGGAAAGGGGCTGGAGTTTAGGGGCCCAGTCTCCCCCATCTCAAGGGGACCTGAGGCATCCTAGCCCAGCTCTGTGACCAGATTACATCTGTGCTGTGCTGTATCCTGGAGAGGGAATAAAGTTCCTCTATTCCACCGGCTGGTGCAGTCTGTTTGTGCCATTTCGGGGCTGCAGGAGACGGGGGACCCCCAACGCGCCGTCACAGTCGGTCAAAATGATTACAAAGTAGATTATATATTCTCGGGGGCAGGAGCTGTATAGGGACTGGTATGACATCTAGCACAAGAGGCTCCTGATCCAGCCCTTTGTATGTTAATGCAAGGGATGAGAGTGAAATTTGAACCTGAGATCAACATGTTCAATTTGAACACCTACATATTACATTTTCCAAAAGCACTGTAAATAAAAAATGAATTATTCTATAACTGCTGTTAAGACAGTATGTTGTTACATGCTTCAGACTGAAGACAGAAGATAAATGCTTATTTAGTGTTATGAGCGTATTCATAAGAAGTGCCCTAGATAGAATGCATAATATCTGTGAAGTGTATTCTATCTTATTGTTGCTATGATACCGTGGCGTTGAGCTCTATATTGACATTGTATTCCTCTTTAAAAATGCTTCACAGTATAAGGTCGTGGAGAAATAAATGCTGCATTTTTATTCCTCTTTGAAGGAAAATATGTGAAGTAAGCATGGTGCAAAGTTAAAGAACATTAGTGCTTCGTGTCTTTCACCAACAATAAAATATTTGAAATTGAGAGGACAGTTCGTAAACTTAATTTAGATATTTTTTTTCTTGCAAAATGTTACTACACGCAAGCAATTTAGCAATATTTGTCTGTCATACTCCTTCCATTTAATATTAACAAAATAATTAAAATACCCGCTATTAATATATAATCATTTGATCTGTGCTATATTTAAACACTCACTGATGCCTGATGGAAAGCTTTGAAAAAAACATTCTATCTAGCAACAAATGCGTGAATAATGTGCACATAGGTTACCTAATTCTCTTGACCTCTTTTGTTACAACAGAAATTTACATAAAATGTTTCTTGCAATAG